TGGCCCCGTCGAGGTGTCGAGTATTTCCGGGCTAAGTGATAAAGAATAATTGCCTGATCTGTTGTGGATCGATTTAATCTAAATCCGGCTTGCTCATGCCCAATCAGGTCAGCCTCAGCTGACCACTTCATCAGCCTTGCCAGCAAAAACGGGCATATATTTTCCCAATGGACGATAGCAGACTGATATTCCGGTAATTCCCTGGGTCACCGGGAGGGCCTTTTTTGTAGATAGGAATTATAATGGCCTCCTTCCACGTACCTGGTATTAAGCCCGTGGCATTTATTGCGTCAAACGTTTTAGCTAAAATCCCTGCCCACCATGCAGAATGTAGCTTTATAGCCTCAACAGGGACCAAATCTGGCCCAGGGGCCTTACCAGTTTTCAGCTCAGCTATCAATTCTAGGATTTCAGCAGGGTCGGTATTGTGCCAGACGGGAAGGGGATTAGAAGGTCTCCAGTGAGTGGCCGGAGCTTCTGCCACTGAGAAATATTTTCTCAGGAACTGCTCCCATGTAGGGGCCGGGATCACCGTTAAGGGGTATTTCGTGTTTCTTCCCTTAATTAAGGACCAAAATTTCCGGGAGTTATGAGATTTTGAGGCAGAAATTATAGTCTGCCAGCGATTTAAATGCCATTCCCGTTTGGCCGATTTCTGGGCCTGTTTGTATGCTTTTTTAGCCAGGGAATAAGATGGAGGTAAGGCCAGAGCGCCGGAAAGTTTATAGTCATTATATATTGTATGTAGATGGAGTCTGGCTAGTTTACAAGCAGAGTTGAACCAAGGGGCGCCAAATTTAAAATAATCGTTTTTAACTCCATAGCTTGGAGAAGTAAAAAAGCGAGTTAAAACTTCTATCAGGCAAGAGAAAAAATTCATACAGGTAATAGGATCACGCGGGACTATTCCTACGTCCGGCTGATCACCAAGAAACTTTTCTCGGATAAAATCCGTATATCTATGGGCGAGGGCAGGGGACCATCTAATCCCCTTTATTTTAGTGGACGGCTCCGCAATCACCGGGATTGGGTGGGAGCGCTCGAGCAGGTGCCAGTCAACACATAACTTGGTTGTCAGGGGAAGATGGTCACTAAATTGGGCATTATCAATTTTAAAAGAGGTGACATTCAAAAATAGATCCCGGGAAACCAATACATAGTCAAGAACACTGTTTGATTTTAACCCCAGATGGGTGAACTCTCCTGGTATATCTGGAGGACACCTGCCATTTAATATAATTAAATTAAGGCGTAAAGCCATCTGGTAAAGCATCACTCCCGCCTTATTGACTTTTACATCCTTTGATATTCTAGTGGGGATATATACTAGATCGTAGGTTTGAGCGCCGGGGTCGACCCACCATTTAGACTTTATAAGAGCCTCCCGATTTGAGGCTATCCGAGCGTTAAAATCGCCTCCGGTAATGGAGGGGACATTAGGATATTTAAGATAACAAGAAAGTAAAAATCCTCTAGGGATTCCCATCTAGAAATAAGATCAGCTGCTAACCCTCCCGGGGGGAAATAGACATTTGTAACCAATAAAGAGAAGTTTCCACCAGAGATCAGTCCGGTAATAGCATAAGGCGGAAATGCGTGCACTAGTGAAAGTTTAGCCCGAAGTTTAAGGGAGATACCAATTGTAAGGCCACCTTTAGGGCGGCCACCATTCGTTGACGGGCTAGCAGGCAGACATATAAACTCAAAGCCATTTAACTCAATTTCCTCCTCCACCCAAGTTTCTTGTAATAGTATGATAAAAAAGGAATTAATATATTTTTGGAATTCTGGATCTGATTTTTACTTTTCCATCCAGCAATGTTCCAACTTAATATTGAAGGCTGGGGTTTCCTCGTTCCTCCAATTGACTGTCATTCGGAAGGTTGGCTCAACTTTAATACGGGAAGAGGGGAGCCAATAAAAAAATCAGTTATCTTCCTCTGATGAAAAACCTCTCGTAAAAGCTGAGTGGGAGGATTTACAAGGTTGTCTGTCTGTTGAACTTGGCCACTCGATCTACTAGGAGTAGGACCTTGAGCAGGGGCGGCCCCCTTTTCCAAAAGAGTTTGGTGGGCCACCCGGTGTGGTCCATCTATCTCGTCAGAAGTTTGGGCTCTCTGTGGTCTGCTACTGGTCTTTTGGGCTACTTGATTTATGTGGCCTGTTGGATCTTCAATCAGTTCCGTCACAGGTCTTGCTGTTGAATCCATAGTACTCCGCAAAGAGGAATAAGGCTGGGCGAGTGGGCTATTTGGGAAGATTAGCAAAGGCACCTCTTCTCTTGATTGGTCAGTGCTATAAGAAGGTTCCAGGTCTGGCATCGATGAATGTGTAGAAGGGGATTTTTCCTGTTGTGTGCTGCTTTCTTCAGGTATGTTTATCAAGGGACGGTCATGTAAATCTATTAAGAGCACGGAGGGTTGTTCTGGTTGGAGGGAAGGACTGGTAGTTGCTTCTTGGGGTTGTATCTTATCCTCCATTACCGACATACATTTAGCATTAGATATTGCGATATCCATATGAACTGGTTCTTCTAGGATGTCATGCTCGCTGTACATAGGTATTCTGGTGCTGAGCTTCCTGATAAGTTGGGTTTTAAGCGATTCGAGTCTATTAATAATTTCTTTTTGTTCCACCGCTGGTAAATCTGCAAAGGAGGCAATGAGTTCGATCTCTTCTGGTGGTGTCAGGCCACTTTCCGGATGGTCATTGTTCTTTGCTAGGGAGTGGAGGCCACATGACTCATCTCCTGGAGGAGAACACCCACTCCGGTGGCCACTGGTGGATCGGGTTTAGCAGATTTTAAGCCCTCTTTGGTTATTGCCTCCAACAGTAGGGGTTTAGGCGTAGGGTCTATAAAGGCTCTCGTTGGTGCTATACCACAGCGAAACAAAAAGCTTTCCTTCGTAATATGATAGTGGGAATTTTTGTGGATTGGAACGCAAGCAGGACTCTCTGTGATGTATGATGATAGACAAGGGGAGGACTGCACAGAGGTCAATCTGTGTTGCCTCCATATTTAAAAGCACCATTAGGAGTTCCTTGGCACCGCCCAGAGTTCTCCATCTTGGGTCCCCATTTTGTATAGTTAGGCACACTTTCCTTGGTGTTAAAATCAAGGATTGATGACCTAATTGAAGGTTAAGGTTGTATTTAAATTTGTCAGTACGTTTGTTATTTAAGGACAGACTCCTCGTCCCCTTCCTCTCTTCGAGAGACTTAACACCGGCTAACGCTGGAGAGGTAGTAACTAGCTTTTGTTGGAGGCTGTGCAGCTGGGACGAAAGATCATCTAGTCTTTTGAATATACAGTGCAAAGTTTTGATTATTAAATGGGACTGTTCAAATGTCATATAATTGGCTGTGCCAAGGACCAGTTCCTCCTTCTGAGGAGAGGCTACACTCTTACTGTTGCCCACATTGCTTGTTAATTGAGGTATTATTCGCTCTTCGTCTTTAAGTGCTGACACGCAATCAATCAGAGGGTTAAATCGGTTCTGAGTTTCTACCGTGTAGGAACAATCCAGTAGATTACTCCCTTCCTTAAAGTGACATGGTTCCACCCTTGTTTGCTTTGATCTCGGAAAGGGAATGGGGACTGTCTCCTCCGAATCTCTAAGACGTTTCCCATATCCCATAATTCAGATATCGAGTAGAGGGGGGATAGTATTTTAACGTCAACTAAATATTTCCTTCAAGCCTGCCAGCACTTGCAGTGGGGGTATATTTCACTGCCTGTTCATATGTAAGTCGGCGTCTTCACCTTCACCCTCACAGTCCGGCAATTTAGTTCGACAAGGAGACTACCGATAAGCAACACAGACCATTCCTTTGAAGTCCTACTCCCACCAGGACTAAGACTAATATAAAATTCTCCTTCGGAGCTTATCACAGGGCCCACCGTGGGTCGGTCTCAGATAAAAGGGAAACTCCCGAAGGCCTCACCAGATCCCAGAGAGAGAGGAGACTCCAAGAAGGCAGCGTAAGGATCCACCCCGATGCTTCAGTTTCAGCCGCTCCTTGTTTCTCGGCGTTTTCCTCCCCCTCCTCCTTTTTCTAGACTTTTAACTTGAGCTTTTAACTCAAGCCTTGAATATATTAGTTAAAAACAGCTGCCAAATGTTGTAGATAAAATACTAAGGCTGATAAAAGCCGAATAAAAACTGATAAAACCAATAAAAACTAATAAAAACCGCACAACTGCTGCGGAGCTCAAGTCAGTGCCTCCACCAACAACGCCATCTTGGGTGGATCTCTGAACTCTGGCTTAGAAATTAACTACTAAGTACATGAAGTATTATCACTTCGATTAGTTAGATTTATTTATTGCTTCACAAATTGAAAGGATGCCTAGAAAGCAGGTAAAATTCCACATGTATTTGGTTCATGGGAGGAGGTCCATGGCATGTTCCTGAGTGTCCAGACGATTCCTAATGCGACACCCTGTAGATTCCTATCTGTGGCTACATATTTCAGTGCTTTCACTAGCCAGAGGCTGTGCTGAAAAAGATTTTTTTCATCCGACCATTCCCATATTCTGAATGCTTGCTATGTGGGAAACAGCTTTGTGTGTGTTTTGCTTTGCATTATTGGCATGGATGAATTTGAGTTTGATTTATTGAGGCATGTCATATTTATTTAGTGAGTTTTTGGTGAATACCAGCCAGTTTGGATGTTACTTTCATTAGGCAGTTGTGGTTTTAGCTGATAAGCAATGTGAAAGCTGTGGTCCGAGAGAAAAGCTAAGGGAATGATTGATAGACTCTGTATTTGAAACATGAAAACTTGAGTGCTGAAGGTGGTAACTCATCACCAGCTGAACAAAGTGAGAGTAAGAAATTATAAGGTGTATCTAGTTCCACAGAATAAACATATAGGTGTTTATTTAATTTTATTTCCATTTTGGCTAATGGATGAAGAATAAACACGTCCTGTTCATTACCCTTGAGTCAAAGTAAATTAACAAGGGAGGAGAGGGCAGACTTTTTTGACAAGAGTTGGGGCACTGTATTTGGATTTTTCATGCATGTTTAAGTCCTGAGCAATGGGCAATTAGCTGTGTAAATACTTTCTGGAGAAACAGCACTATGGTGGTGACAATCTGAACAAATTCACTCATCATTTATTTTAAAATGCAAATTACAGTACAAATTTAAGACTTGAGAGGATTGAAAGGCTGATCCTGTAGACGGGCACTAGGCTACATTTAGAGAGCTGAATATGCAGTGTCTGCACTTATGTGGTTCTGCAGATTTGCTCTGAACCCAGAATATAGTTTGAAGGCTCCTGAGACCATCACCTTGCTGAAGCTAAGCAGGCCTGGGGTGCCGTCAGTGTCTGGATGGGCAACTGCCTAGAAACATCACTCATGCTGCCTTGGACTCCATAACAGAAGAAAGCTTGGGATATAAATGTTAAAAAATTAAAAAAATTAAAACCATTACAAAGTGCTATATCATGGAAACTAGAATGTGTATTAAAATATATATATTCTAAATGCAGTAGTGGTGAAATTTGAAAGCCTGGGTCTGTATTCAGTAACTAATAAAAAAGTAGCAGCAGTCTAAGATTTATATATTGAGTTAGATTATTTCCCTGCTACCTGGGTAAGCAAGGATAGAACGTCAATAATAGATTTGGATTTTGGGGTGTAGAGGTAGAGAACCCTTCCCTTTCATTAAACTTACAAATCCTATAATTCTTTATAATTGGTTATCTAGCTGGGGCTGATGGAAGTTAAAGGTAAAGGTACCCCTGCCCGTACGGGCCAGTCTTGACAGATTCTAGGGTTGTGCGCTCATCTCACTCTATAGGCTGGGAGCCAGCGCTGTCCGCAGACACTTCCGGGTCACGTGGCCAGCGTGACAAGCTGCATCTGGCGAGCCAGCGCAGCACACGGAATGCCGTTTACCTTCCCGCTGGTAAGCGGTCCCTATTTATCTACTTGCACCTGGAGATGCTTTCGAACTGCTAGGTTGGCAGGCGCTGGGACCAAACGACGGGAGCGCACCCCGCCGCGGGGATTCGAACCGCCAACCATGCGATCGGCAAGTCCTAGGTGCTGAGGTTTTACCCACGGCGCCACCCGCGTTAGAGGAAGTTAGAGTTAGGAAGTTAGGAAGTTAGAGTCCAACAAAATCTGGATGGTCACAGGTTTCCAACTCCTGTCTTGAGGCCCTTTTTAATTCCACAGTTCTGTTCCGTACAATATATTCACATTAACTTGAATTTTAAGTGCTGGAGTGGTCAGGCTGCTTCTTTGTACTGTGATAAGCTACAGTACAGCCTGCATAGAATTTAATGTTTTGAACTTGGTGTGTTGGGTATGTTTCCACCCACCTGTTACTTGAAAGCAAACACCTGCCTACAGTAAAAAACAACAGCTGCCTCATATACCCTGAGAGTAGCACCCATCCCACTTGTCCGCTTTGATAGGCTAGCTGTTCAAAGTACAGAGAGTCTGAGGTTCCACTTTTCTTGAGGCCCTCAAGCGCTCTACCTGCCCCCTTGAGAATCTCCTCCTGAGGTCTGATAAAGCCAGATTGCAGAGTCACAGCCTGTATTGTACTGTGTCCAGGATGAAGGAGATCCTGAAAGGGAACGTTCCAGTACTTTTCTCTTCTCCCTAGGCTAATTGAGAGAAGCAGCAGTCACTTTGCTTTGTGGTCCTCTACTGCTAGTTTATGTAAACCGAAGTTTGAGACAGACCAGTTTATCTGTCTTTTATAAACAAACTTGTTTAATATATTGCTTCTGAACATTTAACAATCACATAAACTGTAATTTCTGGCCCATATTTCATCTACTCATTCAAATATTTGAATAGATTAGGGAAGCACCTTATTAGTTATGCAGAAAATTTAGCATGATTTAGAGCTTATTTGATTCCTCAAACTGTTCATTCCACTTCTGTTATTTCTAAAAGGAAAGCTTTATACTGGCTGAGAGAATGGCTGCTTCTTGAAAATACTGACGTGCTGGACCTAGAAGGTTTTAACAATGTATTTGGGTGGCATGCATATTTGTGGTATGGCAAGGTTAAAGCACATAAAGCGTTTAAAAACCATATTGTCAGAAAAGCACTGTTTAATGTCTGGATAAGATATAAGGACTTGCTTGAAAATAAAACCCCAAGGTGGCTGTCACCAATGGACGCGAAGGCTCAGAAAAAGCTCAATATGGAGGCCAATTGGCCGAAATATTGGGAAATTTTGGAACAAGAGGGAGACAGATTAAAACTGCAGAGTTTTGAAAAATTAAAAAATAGAGCGCGAGACTGGCTCCATTATTATCAAATAATGGAGGCGTATAATTTGGATAAAAAAATTGGCTTCCAGGTGGAAAAATCAAAATTGGAAACAGAACTGTTAGATCCCAAAATTAAGAACTTGTCAAGAATGTATAACTTGCTGTTGAAATGGAATACTCAGGATGAAATGGTGAAATCAACTATGATTAAATGGGCACAAGATGTAGGACATAATATTATGATGGCTGACTGGGAACAGTTATGGACCACAGGTATGAAGTTTACGGCATGTAATGCCCTAAGAGAGAATATAATGAAAATAATCTACAGGTGGTACATGACACCAGTCAAGCTTGCAAAAATATATCACTTGCCCGATAATAAATGTTGGAAATGTAAAGTGACTGAATGTACATTTTTTCACCTTTGGTGGACATGCCCAAGGATTAAGACATTCTGGGAGATGATTTATAATGAAATGAAAAAGGTATTTAAATATACCTTCCTGAAGAAACCAGAGGCCTTTCTCCTGGGCATGGTCGGCCAATCGGTGCCAAAAAAGGATAGAACTTTCTTTATGTATGGCACAACAGCAGCAAGAATACTTATCGTGAAGTATTGGAAGACACAAGATCTACCCACCTGGGAAGAATGGCAGATGAAGGTGATGGACTACATGGAACTGGCGGAAATGACTGGCAGAATCCAAGACCAGGGAGAAGAGTTGGTGGAAGAAGATTGGAAGAAATTTAAAGTTTACTTACAGAAACATTGTAAAATTAAGGAATGTTAGAAGGATGTTGGAATGAAGTAATGTGGTTTTAACAGAGATACCGTAAAGGATTAAGAAAAAAAACAGATTGTTAAATGGTGAAAGGAGGGAAAGTAAAGTAACATTATATTAAGATAAAATAGAGGACAAAAATTGGAAAATATGGAAAGGACTTGCTGAAATAGCTAATTGAACTAGAATACAAAAAAGGGAGGTGTGAGGAGGTCAAGGAAACAAGCAAATGAAAGATAAGTTATGGGAAGATTCATTGTATTTTTTTCTTTCTTTTTTCTTTTTTTTCTTTTTTCTTTTTCTTTATTGTGATGTGATGTTCTGTTTTTGCTTGGTATGCTTTTTTATTTTTTATTTTTGTAACCTTTCAAATCTTAATAAATATTACTTTAAAAAAAAAAGGAAAGCTTTATACTGGCCAGTTTTAAGTTGTATTGGAGTAGTTGACTTTTTAGATGCACAAGATATGAGATCCATAGGGGGTCCATAGGTCAAAAACCAGAATAGGTCAGAAAGGCAATGAAGTGCTTTCATTAGACCATAGAACATCAGTGCATTAAAATTATTTTTGCCTGTTCTCTGGTGGAGAAAAGTTATTTCATTTTACACCATGACACTCTGAGCAATCTTCTGGGGTCATTCTGCTTAGGAAATTGTGATAATCAAGGATGTGAAGGCACAAATTACTGTCAACAGTGGTTGCTGAAAATATATTGGATTCTATTTGTATCTCATGCTTCTTTCATAGAGTTGAGAGTGGCATAAGTAGTGTTCCCTCTTTTTAGATCATTCCCTGATTTTAGTTCCCTTTTTTGCTATTTAATGAGATGATAGTTTTCATGTGTGTTCCACATATGTAAACGAAGGTTTCCATAATATGATTGTCAAGACCATAATTAATAATTGTTACTTCTCACTTAAAAACAGCTTACTTAAGAATTCTACTTGTCTCTTTGCTCATTGGGGAAATATGTAAAATCTAGATATGATGTAGCGAAAGTGTTTGTCTGAAACCCTCCTCTATAATGTGATATGAATACTGAGCCTGTAAGCATAATTTTATGGTGTGTCCACACAAGCATTTTTCCTGTGTCAGTTGGCACTGATAAGGAAGAGAAGATAGTAGCTGTAATCCCAGACTATTGCTATTTGGTTTTTGTGGACAGCACAGCTACTCCTGAGCCTGCTACTATCTGTCTATGCTATACTGAGAGTGGGGGGGAAGCATATGGGTTAACTTCTAGTGGGGAAAACAATTCTCAGAGGCCTGTTTAAAAATGACTTCCATGATTTATTTATTTGTTGGATTTATTTATATCACACTTTTTCTCCCAGGAGTTCAAGGTTGTGTATATGATTCTTTCCCTCTTTCTTTATCCCCCAGAGTGGGACGCGGGTGGTGCTGTGGTCCAAACCACTGAGCCTCTTGGGCTTGCCAATGGGAAGGTTGGCAATTTGAATCCCCACAACGGAGTGCGCTCCTGTTTCTCTGTCCCAGCTCCTTTGAATATATTGGGAGCAGCATCCACTGAGGTTGTAGACTAAAGGGTGGACTGGAGTAGATGTCCTGTTGTCAGGGGATGGGACTTCTGTGCTTTGCATGACTTCATCTTCTTCATATGGTGCTTGGTTTGTGTCCCCATGCCCCATCTTTTTTGAAAGCCCTCTCAGTCCCATGTTTTGCCCTCTTTTTAGCCCCCCTTCTAGTCAAGCTCTTATTACAAGTGAAATTAGATGTGATCAATACAGGAGACTGAGAGGTAAAACTGTGCACCCTGATGCATTGTCACTTCATCCCAGCATTGGTGCCATCAGAGTATTGCTAGGTTATCTCCTAGAAACAGGCAGCTGGCATGAGACATGACGAAGCGGGGGTCGGGGGAAGGGAAATGTGATTGTGCTGGAGGATATGATTTCTGTGCACAGAAGTACTGTGGCTGTTAATTTCTCCATGTTGCCATGTAGCTTCTGGCTGGGTCATGTCAGAGTTTCTAACTTATTTTACTAGGGAAATTCCAAAAGAAACCAATGTATTTTGGGGGCATTTTTTTGCTAGCAAAAGAGAATACCAATTATGAATTGATTATTCTTTTGTGTTCATCATCATACTTAATATATTGAGATAGAAATATCAACTGCTAAGCTTTCTTCCATTGATGTATACGTAATTGCATTTGTGTGAAGAGAGTTCTGGCCGTGATGACAGCTTTGTGAGATAGCTATCTTTTGGGTAATTACAGTTATCTCATGATCGTATCATGATCTTATCAGTATAGCGCATGTGGGGGGGGGAATAAGCAAATGTTGCACAGTTTAAATTAATAGATGGATCTTTAAGAAACAGTCTTTATTAGTACCTGGCTGCACTGCTTACTGCTGCTGATCCTCAGTTCAAGAATCGAGAGGTGACGGTGTCCAATAGGTGAAAATGCAACTCCAGCTATATGGGAAAAGACTGTACAGTTCATTTCAAGCTGGTTTCAGACATCTCTTTTGAATGAGTGTTCGAGATGAAAGAATTCCAGTGGTCTCAATTTAAATATTATTAAGAATCAAACTTTCTGATTTGTTTGGGTCTTAGACCATTGCTAAAAGGATGTTATAGACAAGCAAATGCCAGTTAGTTTAATTCAATAAAACTACTATCCATCAACTTATTATAATGTACAATAGAAAAGGAGGAAGGAGTTCTTGAGGAGGAAGTAGCCTTTGATATGTGTTACTCTTTTCCACACCCCAAAACTATAGGGATGAGTTTTAATGTTTGTCTGGTTTGCATTTAATAAGACAACTAAATAAATCTGAAAAGTTGCTCCAGAGTAGTTGAATGGAAAGATTTAATTATGAGTGAAAATTCAATGAAGTACAATTAGTCCACTTTGCATTTAGGGGTGGCTGACCTGTGACCTTCCAGTTTTAGTTAGACTTCAGCTCCCATCAGTCCCAACCAGCATGGTCAATGGTCAGAAATAACAGAAATTTTAGGTAATTTCTATGGGTCTACTATGACTAAAACTTAGTTGAATACCATGCAGAAAAATCTAGGACTGGTGTCTGCTGGGCATCAAGCTATGGAGTACATTCTTCTACATGACTGCATGATCTCAAAATGCACATACTTATTTGAAAGCACTAGCACTTTCATGTAAAATATCCATCCAGGAATTCTGATATGGGGATGATTCTAAAGAAAAGTAATTTACCAGTGGATATTTTAATGACACACTGACTCTGAACTGCACCAGAAGCCACTCTGAATGTTAGAACGGCCCCATATCCAGTGGAATATTTTGTAATGGAATTTTAGGATGAATTACTTGACATTTGTCATGACGTCCACAGTGGATTACACTCTGACCACACCTACTGCATGTATAGGTGCACCCTGCACTTAATTCTGGCTTGTGCTGAAGGTGGAAAAGTAAGCCTTCAGCTCTCTTTACACTTACCTGAGAGCTTTTGCCTTAAGTGGGTCACCAAAATAAATCTTGGAGGCTTTGGTTTTCCTGGTTGTTTAGAATAGCCAGGCATATGTTCAAATTAGCTCAAGGCCAAACGAGGTATGACACAGCCACATCAGTTGAAAATTAATAATAGCAGGCTTGAGGCTGCAATATTTTTCAGAATTGCATTATATGGGGAAGTGAGAGTTGTAGCCTATCCTTCCCACTGCAGCCCTGAAGGAAATGCTCTCCCTCTAAAAATGTTGTTGTAGTCCAGCAGCATATTTAGGGCTGCAGGCTGCTCATCCCTACATTAATATGCTCAAACTGTCTTGCCCCAGTGAGTAACCTGGCTGCTGAATTCTGCAGTAGTTTCCTTACCATCTTCAGAGGCAGCCCTATGTATAATGTGTTGCAGTAATCTATCCTAGCAGTTACTAGAGCATAGACAACAGTAGTTAGGCTGTCCCTGTCCAAATAGGGGTGCAGACGGGCCACCAGCCGAAGTTGATGGAAGGCATTCTGTGCCACTGAGGCTACTTAAGCCTCAAATGACAGCAATGGGTCCAGAAGTACCCCCAAGTATCTAGAGGTACCCCCAAGTATCTCCAGGTACCTGCTCCATCAGAGGCAGTGTAACCCCATGAAGAACAGGCCACCTCCCATCCATCTGGTATAGGGAACCATCCACCAACAGTGCCTCAGACTTACATGGATTGAGCTTCAGTTTGTTGGCTCTAATCCAGTCCATTACCAAGGCAAGAAAATGGTTCAGTGCATTCACTGCTTCACCTGCAGATTTAAAGGAGTAGCACTGTATGTCATCAGCATATCAGCTATGTGTGACAACATACTCCAATCATCCAGATAACCCCACTTGGGGGTTTTATGTAGATGATAAACAGCATAAGGGATAAAATCACATCCTGAGGAACCTTACATTAAAGGCACCATGGGGCTGAAGAATACTCCCCAAGCAACACCCTCTGGAAACATTCATCCAAGTAGGTCTGGAACTACCACAAAGTGGTGCCACCCATTCCTAACTCGGATAGCTGCTCCAGAAAGATACCATGGTCAATAGTATCAAAAGCTGCTGAGAGGTCAATGAAGTCTCTCTTCCAACAGAAGTCTTCATATAGGGTGACCAAAGCATATTCTGTGCCAAAACTGGGCCAAAACTCCGATTGAAAGGGATCTAAAAGATCTGGTCCACAACCACCTGCTGAAGAACCTTGCTCAAGAAGGGGAGATTAGTAGCTGGTTGGTCCTTACTTAGATTTTCCAAAGCCAAGGAGGGTTTCTTGAGGAGTGATTTTACCACTGCCTCCTCCAAGCAGGCAGGCACTACCCCTTCTCAGAAGGAGGCATTAATCATCTCCCCAGCCCAGTCAGTTATCCCATCCCTGCTAGTTTTTATCAGTCAAGAGGGGCAAGGATCTAGGGCACAAGTGGTTTGTCTGATCCAAACACGTTATCCATCCTATATACTGTATTTGGAACTTAAAATAATTATCCAACTCAAAATGTTTGTATACTGTGGCCATTCTTTTAATATTGGCAAGCACCCCTTCGTGTCATAGCTTTGATTCCCAAGCAGCAAATACATCTGGGCAAAATTTAGTAGCAATACAATCTTCCATACCCTCATGGTTTGCTCAGCAGGTAGGCATTGATAATGACTAGTTAATAA